ATGTGGGTATGGTGGTGCTGGTGGTTTATACGGTGGTTGCTGGGGAAGAGAGAGAGATGGAGAAGAAGAGAATTTTTTGATTTTAATTTTTTAATTTTTTAATTAAATAAGTATTTAAAATAATAATTTAATTTTAATTAATATTTTTTTTCCATACTAATACTTTAATTTTTAAAATTTTTGTTTCTTTTTTCTTTTGGATTTTTGAATTTTTATTGTTGTATCTTTTACCATAATGACCCTGCCACGTCAGCTTTTTTGACGGTCTTTTGGATGGCGTTAACGGTGGGGGGAAAGTGGAACACAAAACCACGGTCAAGGGGGTTAAGTGGGTCATTTTAACTTTGGGGGGGTAAAGTGAGATTTGACCGAAGTTTCAGGGGGTGCTACAGTAAATAAGCCTAAAAATAATTCATCAAAAATACCAACAAAAAAAAAACTTATGTACACATGTGACACTGCTATTGTCAAGAATGTAGGAGCTCATACTTATATGGTAAGAAGGTCAGTTTTTTTTTTTTTAAAACCCTGGTCCAAAATTCCCCCTTGTTTGTGGGCCTTGGGACACAATCGTTTTGGTTTTGTTTGGTTGTTTGTTCTTGCTGGTGCCTTGTGACAAGTGTCAGCTTTTGATCTGCTGTTCTCATCTTTTCGTTTTTACTATTTTTCCTACTATACTCTAAACATGCTGTGATCACACTATTGAAGAACCGTCCAGTCCAATCCAATGCCTAAAATGTTGTACTTATTATCTAATTATAGTAGTTGAATACGGGTGTTCTGGAAAGGTAAATCTCATGTGCTGCTTATCATTTTAACAACTAATGACGAGTGCAAGGTTTTCTGATCTTATGCTAAAAATTATAATAATTTTGTGTTTGTTGATTTCAGTAACATGATTTTTTATTCATGATTATCTGTTTTGTCATGTGTGGTTAGAACAAATCTCCTGTGGAATGCGAATCAGCACTACAAATTATGCTAATTCTCCTTTTTCTTTGCAGATTAAAAGAGAACGGGTTTTGCTTCTAGGAGGCTTCAATTCAAGGCTCTCTAAGGATCTTCCATCGGATCTTCAAAAACTTCGATGCAAGGTAACGTGCGAAATACGTCTTTAATTTCCTTTGTATATGCAAGCTGACTTTTGTTATACAGAAATGAAAGGAGGTTCTAGTTCTAGAGACAGCTGACTCTAATCTCTTCTTTGTTTGACATCAGGTTGCCTTTCATGCATTGAGGTTTGCTCCTCCAATTTTGGGAATTGGTAACAAGCTTGCAGAGAGGATGAGCAGTAAGGGACCTTACCTTGCCCTTCATCTCAGAATGGAGAAGGATGTATGGGTGAGGACTGGTTGCCTTCCTGGTTTGAGCCCTGAATATGATGAGATAGTAAACAATGAGAGGATACAGCGGCCAGAGCTCCTAACTGGAAGATCAAACATGACGTACCATGAAAGAAAACTTGCAGGTCTCTGCCCCCTGAATGCCTTGGAGGTGACCAGGTAAGAATGTTAGCCAAATATGTATTTACTTTAAGGCATTTTAACATAAACCAATTTGATATCTATTATCCTATTTGTTCTATGTATCAGAGAGTTTTATAACGGGCAAAATTTTGTGGTTTAGGTTGCTTAAAGCTCTAGGAGCTCCGAAAAATGCAAGAATATATTGGGCTGGAGGGCCTCCATTTGGTGGAAAAGAAGCCTTGCTGCCATTAACCGGAGAATTTCCTCATTTTTACAATAAGGAAGATCTTGCTTTGCCTGGCGAACTAGAACCTTTTTCAAATAGAGCTTCTGTCATGGCGGCCATTGATTACATAGTTTCCGAGAATAGTGATGTCTTCATGCCGTCTCATGGGGGAAATATGGGCCATGCTATCCAGGTATAGTTTATTTGTTCTGGTCTTAACAGATAGGTAATATATGCTAGATAAAATACTTCACAAGAGTCAAACAATATGGGTAGAATATTTTCAGATATATTTCATTCTCCGAAAGGAGGTATTTATAATACAGGTTACAAACCCTAGTAGGGTTTAATTAGGAAATAAGTGGAATCCTAATTACATAATATCTACACAAAAGGAAAAAATAAATAAAACCATAGAATAGGATATGCTCTACTTGTAAGATTTGCATTCTAAACCCTAAGGTGGTCTTCTAATCACTTAAGGATAACTAGTTCAATGTCAATTAGGATTACATG